ACTACTACTATCATTCTATTTTATTTTACTTCAATTATTAAACTGTTCTTATCTCAACCCAGGAGTTGTCTGACTTTCACCCTTCTAATTCTCTCCCCCACCCCACTGGGGGGGAGTGAGTGAGCGGCTGTGTGGTTCATAGTTGCTGGCTGGGGTTAAACCACAACAATGTGTTATTTCATTTAAATTGCTATCCCTTTCTTTACAATTTATAAATAATTTAGAAAGTATTTCCAGAAATTAAGGCTGATTTTTAAATTTTTCTTTTCCCCTAATGAAAGAATCCACTAAGCAGGGAAAACCATTTTTTAAATGCCAAAATCAACGTACCAGTGGTACCTTGAGGGTTAATAGAGAGGAGGAAATGTTCAGTAGGGATGAAAACATCACTCTGCAGTTCTCCTTGTGTGTTCCCTCCAATGTTCTGTTCCTCAGGCACCCAGCTCAGAGGCATTGCTGCTCCGAAGACTACAGGTGAGGAGAGAACTGCTCTGTTCGAGGTACATCAACGTGGTTGTTGGAGAATATGCCATCTTTCATTTTGTTTCCCCTGTGGCCACAGATGTAAGAAATGAGCTTTTCACCTTGCTTTGTGTATTGGTATGCACATGTACTCATAAAGCCCAGAGCAGTACAGTATTAAAAATCACACCTCTACCTGTGTATTCACTAGAAATGGCAGTGGGATAAAAATGTCCTGTTTATCACGTCCTTTGTGGGATGAGGTTCAAATCGCTGAACTCTGAAAGTCTCCAGCTCATTTAAGACATAGCAGCACAATGTGTTTAGAGAAAACTTTGCTAAGGGCAGGTGGGAAACAGCAGGAACTGGCTCGTAGTTCAGACCTGACTGAGTGGTCAAGTGGTCCGGAGGCCTGGGTGCGAGCTGCTCTGCATGGCTTTGTGGGGGTACTACGGAGAGCCTGTAGTGCTGGTTGGGTTGAGATGAGCACCCTGGCCACCTGGGATACACCTGCACTGGCCAGACATGGTCTGTGACTGCTCTGAGAGTAATGGGAGGCTTTTGTTCTCGTGGACAATCTTAGATTTGGTGGCTGTCACGATAGATACTACTCAAACATTTTTTACTCTTTAGTAACTGCAAATGCATTCGGAGCTTCCAGTTGCTGGGGTGACCTGTATTTCCCCACCCAATGTGCTGGTTTCCTACTTCCTATCCCTGTGGTATTTAACTATTTTATGAATTTGGTGCCTACAGCTGCAAACTTAGAGCCTACTTAATGAGTGAAGCATCAGGTATTCAAACATCATTGGGCAGCATGGCTGCCCGTGCTGCTAGCTAACACTATATATAATATTTGTCATCCATTTCCTGCAGCCAGTGAGTGTCCATGTTGTAAATGGGGAAACGAAGGAAAAGGGATGTAAAGTCTCACCAGTGTTGGCTGGCAAACTGGCTGTTCAGAGTCCCATGGCAGTGATTTGTCTTTTAATCCATATTGTTTCCCTCTTTCCCCGCTGTTCCAATACACCACAGAGATATTTTCAAAGCTTTAATTCAAATTTAAGCAAAACCATTATGCTTCCAGTGTACACTGGAACTACATCCAAGGAGGCAATGATATAGTAAAGTGCCGAATACCAAGTTACTCACCTTTTGCCTGGAATTTGTTTATGGATTTAGGTAACGTGGTTGCCATTTATTTACTCACCGTCTTCTCTGAAGGAGAAAACGCTGGTTTTGTGTTTACAGGCTCATTGGTTTTGAGTCATCAGTGTTTAACTCATCTTGCAGGCTGTTAATGCATTGAAATAATAAGGAGGTATGGTAAAAGGAATTTGCTTTGCCTGTCTCATTGCGAATGCAATAATAAATCGGCTTTGTCCAACAAGATGCTGAACTCCCCTTAGGAAGTGCTGACAGCATACTTAGCTCCCCATACCTTAGATGCACGCAAGAACGTGTTCTAGCTAAAGCAAAACAGTGAGCGTGTTGATCCCGTGTGTGTTTGTCTGCACAGTATTAAACAGTGCTATCTGGCACTTAACCACTGCTGATTTAATTAGCTCTCACAGAAAGGATGCTTTGATCCAAAGCACCTTTCAGCTGTTTGGCTAGCAAACTGATAGTAAAAAGCCCTGTGATTCTGTACAGAGCCAAAAGTCCTTCTGAAAGGAAGGGTAGGAAATATAAATGCTTACCAAGTTTTGCATAACAACTTGAAATTAATCAATTTATGGCAATTAAAAAACCTTCTCATACTTATTCAAACTTAGACCGTGAACCTTGGCATCCTGTCCAGATTAGCATTCCTAGAAATTTCTATAGTTTCAGGATCTCTTCTTCAAAGAACAGGTAATGACTTTTCCTCAAAATATTTCTGTGCCCCATTTTGAAGTGTTGCTGGTGTGGGATTCCCAGTGAGTTCTCCCTCCAGAGCAGTGAGTTCTCCCTCCAGAGCGTCG